AATTTCATTTGGTGACCCTTAGTTCTTATATTATGGGAATAAGTAAATAACTTTTCCTTATCTACTTTCTCCACATTACTCATGATTTTATATACCTCTATCATATCCCCTCTTATGTTCTTATGAGGACTATAAACTCTTTCTTTCATTGTAATAAAAGCTGAGATTCTCCCAATCACTCAGCTCTAGTATCTGGGTCTTGAAGAAAAACATCAAATAGTGTGAGACTTGTGTAAAAGGGGGAGAGTTGGCAAAACTGATTTCATAAAAGCAAAAACGCACTGTATACCACATATCCACAATTTTCAGACAATCAATGCACTCAATATTGGTGCTAATTCTTCATAAAACATTTGAGTTATTGCTCTCTACAACCACCTATGACGTTCTCTGAGCTTTGTTTTCAAATTACAAAAAGCATATCTGAATGCAGGTAATGTTCACATAGGAATTTGGAATTGAAAACAAAGTACCAGTTACTAAAAGAGCTGCAAGCACGCACACTTCAGAGGAATGAGACCAATGTGACGGAGACAAATCCAAGCTGCCAAATTCATAAGAACATAAGAACAAAAGAACGGCTGTACTGGGTCAGACCAAAGGTCCATCCAGCCCAGTTTCCTGTCTACCGACAGTGGCCAATGCCAGGAGCCCCAGAGGGAGTGAACCTAACAGGTAATGATCAAGTGATCTCTCTCCTGCCATCCGTCTCCATTCTCTGACAAACAGAGTCTAGGGACACCATTCCTTACCCATCGTGGCTAATAGCCATTAATGGACTTAACCTCCATGAATTTATCCAGTTCTCTTTTAAACGCTGTTATAGTCCTAGCCTTCACAACCTCCTCAGGTAAGGAGTTCCACAAGTTGACTGTGCGCTGTGTGAAGAACTTCCTTTTATTTGTTTTAAACCTGCTGCCTATTAATTTCATTTGGTGACCCCTAGTCCTTGTATTATGGGAATAAGTAAATAACTTTTCCTTATCTATTTTCTCCACATCACTCATAATTTTATATACCTCTATCATATCCCCCCTTAGTCTCCTCTTTTCCAAGCTGAAATTCAGTTGTCCGGCTATACCGAAAGAAGGACGGGAGACACTTGATATGGATTTAATCAGGCTGCAACTTTATTATTAGATGTCTGGGATAAAAGGGTACAGTGCAGGCAACTCCATGTGTTTTCAAATAACTACTTGGGGCTTCCACCAGCCCCCCCTTCATTTTCCATCTAGGTCACTCAGCCAACCCATGGCTTGGACCTTACCATCCACCCCCCTCGTAGGAAGGTTAAAGTGGGCTATAAGAAAGGGGGGTTGGCTGCCTGCCATACCATTCATAGGAGCGCCAACCCTTTCTCCCCCTCTCCCCCCGTTCCATTCCTTTAACCAGAACCTCTTTTTTAAATCCTTTACCAGGCCATTTATCTGATCACTGCATGTCTTCCCTATGGAGTACTGCACTGGACATCTGCCACAAGGAGGTGCCAGCTATTAGCTTGGCTGCTTCCCCCCCAAACCGAGTCAGGTTCCCAGACATCTCCCAATGGCCTCTTTTGTAGCAGCCAAAAACACGTCCGCTCCCAAGTCTGATAGGGGAAGCCCCATCTTCCCGAAAGAACCCGGTTGCCCCTTGCACTATGCCAGGATCATCAAGGATGCCAACAGCTCTGTTGTCAATGACCATGTACCGCAACACCTGCCCCCCGTATTGGTGACCAGCATTCTGGATCCTGAAATTGGAAGAGCTCATTACAACTTCCTTCATAGCTCAGCCATGTGCCTGGAGCCAAGGATCACCATGTTACTGACGACATCATATGCTGAGGTTCCATAACGCCAGCACCATCTGCTCAGGTTCGTTGCTAGCTCCTGGTGCAAGCTCCTGAAATCTGTCAAACTGAAAACGAGACAAGGCATCTGTGATGCCATTATCCATCCTGGGCACATGCTTGG